TCAAAATAACCAAACAACATTGATATTTAGTATCTATTTACTTTTTAATTTTATAAAAAAAATTTTTAAATGCAATAAGTTAATATTTTTGTTTCTATTACCTATATTAAATATTTAATGCATCAATGTAAAATGTTTATTCTGTCATTTATATAATTTTTAAGTATATAATATATTTAAAATAAAAATAAGTTTAAATAAAACAAGTATGTAAAGGTCGCTCAAAGCGGCGCTTTATTTCTGTTCTTTAACAATAAACACACTGAATATCTCAATATATCATTGTGACTGTTAAAAAAATATAAAATATGCATTTATTTTCCCAAAACCACTGAATATGTCAATAAAGGACTGTGCAATCGCAATATTATTTCAAAAAAAATCCTTTTGTATGAAGTCATCTTCTACTGCTGACAGTTTTCTTAGATATGTTCCTTAGATTTCTTGCCAACCCACAGTGCTTTCCTGAAAAAAAATTAATATATAATTTTAGCTTGCCTATATTTCTATATAAGAAAGTTCTACTTTACGATTGGACATGATATAATTGTGTAATTTACAAAAAATAGCAAAAAAATGTTTTATTAAATAATTTCAGCACAATTTATTTGAACCCATTACCTTTAGTCTGTCCAAATTTTTAACACGATTTTATACTGCACCATATAAATTTGAAATGTGACCAATTTTACTAACAAATATTACTTTTGTCTTATTTTATTACAGCTATTTAGGTAATACGTCACACCTCTCTGACTGTCGATGGGCGTTTGTGGATGTGGACGGACCGTAAGCTTTGTTTCGTATTGGCGCATCTGTTCTGCGCATCAATCAATACCTATGCTTTTTAATGATTCGTTAATTTTTTTCTAATTTACTTACTTGTAGTTGTATATAATGTTTTATTTTATTATTATTATTATTACAGTTATTTTTCTGAAGTAGGCAGAAAGGGTAGAGCTAACTTCTCCTTGGTGTTTTAATCAAATTATTCAATTTCCACTCAAAGCTATCGAACCGTAATAGCGTGAAGTAACAATTTCACGTACTAAATTTTCCATTGTTATATAATATTTAGAAGAACTTTCTCGCTATACCTATCTATACTAATACATATTATAGAGGCAGAGTTTGTTAGAACGCGCTAATCTCAGGAACTACTAATCCGATTTGAAAAATTCTTTTTGCATTAGATAGTCCGTTTATTGATCAAGGCTATAAGCTATATATCTTATAATAATATATAGTCAATCTATTCCATACTAACGGTTAAAACATACCTAGGGACGAACCCGAGCCAGCGAGGTTAAGTCGCTAGTCTTATCATATTGGGTCAAAAATTCTAGCAACGCGTTTAAATGATTGTTGAATTAAATGAAATCCATTATGTTTAAATATACAAAATGTGCATGTAATGATGAGAAAATGCTCTATTTTTATAATTAGATAACTTCAAGTTATATATGATTATATTATATAACTTTCAAAGATGTATGTTTATAATATGTTACATGATATATTCGGCAGGTGTAAACTAATTTTTTTTAATTATCTTGTTTAGGGTAGAAAGGAACCCCCAATGATTCTAAATAAATTTCAGTTATATATAAACATTAAAAATTCCACCCCAATAGCTTTTTAGTTGAAAACTAGCTTTCAGAAATATATTCGCAGGAGACAAATAAAACAATTAAAATCTAGCACAATAATTTATTTAAAGACTAAACAAAGTCACTGAATATCTCGTTATACTATTGTGAAAGTGTTTACTGCTATTACAATATTGAACTTTCTCAAAACCATTGAATATCTCAATTAATAATTGTGACATTTTATTAAGATTTGCTGTAGAACACCGGTGAGCTTGTCCTCCATCTACCCATTAGTTCTTTTAAATCTTCCATGCTGCTCGATTAAGTCACACAAAACGAATATTTCTGCGCATCAATCAATAACATGCAGGGGGTGGGTGCAGTGTCTGGGTGCATCAGGCTAGGGCTAGGCTATATAAAATTACTCCACAACGTTACAAAGTAGGTACCTACCTATAAAATGTTAGCGAAGATATTATTTTAATTTTTTTATATTAAGGTTGGCAACTAAGTGATTGCGTATTTTATACTAGCGACTCGCGTTTTAACGTTTAATATAGATTTCTCAGAAATGAGATATTTTCCCACAATAAAAAAATCCTATATGTTGACCCGGATAACCAGCTATCATCATACAAAATTTCATCAAAATCCGTCCAGTGGTCTTTCCGTGATGTGCTAACAGACAGACAGACAGACAGACAAAAATTCTAAAAACTATAGATTCGGCCTCTGTATCGATAATAATGTATATTTCAATAAGATTTTCCAAAAAATATTTCATGTACAGATTCGGCTCAGAATTTTATTATATGTATAGATGAGTAGGGAAATAATTATTTTTTGCTTAAAAATATAACTTTATTCGATTAGGTTTTGTGAGTTTTTATCGATGACCTTTTGCCATTTTTCAGGCAGTGTCATAATTCCATCTTTAAAAAGAATATGGAATATGGAAATTTGGAAGCAAAAAACTGAATTAAATGTGATTTTACATCATCAGCGTCATTAAAGATTTTACCATTTAAAGGGATCTGCATTAAACGAAATAAATGGTAATCTGAAGGTGCGAGGTCAGGCCTATATGGTGGATGTGACAACGCATCCCAAAATAGTTCGAATAATTTTTGACGAGTGATCATAAATGAGTGGGGCCTTATATTATGATGCTGGAAAACAACATCCTTTGATTCACCAATTCTTGTCGCCTTTCTTAAACTGCATCACTCAGTTTAGCGAGTTGTAAATGTACACGTTTGAATCAATCGTATGGTAAAAGTTCAAAGTACAGAATTCCTTTATAATGCCACTAACCTGACAGTATAATCTTTTTTTGATGAATCTCAGCTTTTGATGTCCTCTGGGTTATCTTGCATCACCCATGATCTTTTCCGATTAACGTTGTTATAAACTATCCATTTTTCGTCACCAGTAATCAAACATTTCAAAAGTGTATCACTTTCGTTGCGTTTCAGAAGCAAATCGCAGATGCTAATTTGTTGCGTCAAATGAATTTCCTTGAGCTGATGAGGGACCCATAAATCGAGTTTCTTGACATAGCCAAGCTGTGTTAATTCTTCTTCCTTTTAATCTTAACTGGAAGGCTTAAAGGACGCAATAAAATGCTTACGACTTAAATCATATTAGGCGACAATCATCCTCATATTTTAGCTAATTTACACAAACCCTAATAAATCATTTATTTCCCTCCTCATGAATCACTCCGTCCGATGGTGAAAACCTTATGAAAATCAGTTCGGTAGTTTTTGAGTTTATTGCATTCAGACAGACAGACGCGACGGGGGACTTTTTTTAATAATAGGTAAGGATAAATCAAAAAAGGCACAGACAAAACAGAGAAAACGTCAGTGGCGTCTACTTTACTCATTTGATACAAAAAAAGATACAAGTTTGGGTCCTTTGTTTTGTTTTAAGGAGTCATACATTACTGTTGGTTAATCGAATATCTATAATCCCTCCACGACCGCGGACACGCCGGCATTACAGTTAACAATAGATTTCTTAGAAATTTAATTAATGTCTTAGAAATTTACCTGGAGGTTGTAAACGAGCAATTCTTGTAATTATTTATTTATTTATACCGGCGATTTCGGAAACTGCTCTAACGATTTCGCTGAAATTTGGTAAGTGGGGGTTTTCGGAAGCGAAAAATCGATCTAGATTAGTCTTGTCTGGTAAAGCGCGTGTTTTCGAGTTTTCATGCGCTTTTCTTTAGTATTTTCCACGCAAAATATGGTCGCTAATTTCGCACGATTGGGCGTAAGCATCGTGGTCAAGCGGCCAAGACGCAAGATTGACAATTACAGGTGTCCGGGTTCGAATCCCGCTTGGATGCAACGTTTTTACTTTTTTGTCGTTTTTGGCCAAAAACTCGGAGCGAAGCTCGGTCACCCAGGTATTGATAATATAAATTAATCTAATAAATGCGTGATAAAAAGTATGGTCCTATAAATCCTCAAACTCAGTTCATGTTTATTATTTACAAGCGACTCACTATGTCCTTCCCAGGGTCTCAAACTATCTTCTTACCAAATTTCATCTTAATCGGTTTAGTATAGTTTACCCCCTACAACGTCATAAACTCGCCTCTTTATAATATAGTGTAGATGGAATTTATCTGACTTTATTAAAGAAGGTACATTAAAATGAAAAAATATAAATGTAAAAGAAAGACGAGACCAATTTATTGTCAAATAGATTTCTTATAAACTTGAAGCAACTACAATAACAAGATACATTAATTTAATGATTTAATAACATCAATATCTAAATTTCCATATGACTTATATACGTACATATTTAGCGCCGAAAGTATACCACAGATAAAAAAACTTGATGAAAAACAAAGACGAGTAATTTTTAAGCATTATTTAATACATATTTATATAAAAAAATATTGTGCGATGACATTTCAATCACACAAACCATGAATAATATAAACACTGAGTCCAATATATGTATGTATGTAAAAGTTGTCCCAAAAACTAGAAAAAAAAAATATAGTGGGCGCGCTGAGGGCGCTGCAGTCGCCAGTGGCGCCAACTGGTGCCACCAAAAACGATAGCCCTTGTTCATATGGTAACTACGTAAATCAGCGCGACAAGTGGCAGTTTCGGGAACTATAGCTATAAAAAATTTTGCGGACGAATTTCTCATATGAAACCTTATGGAGATTGGACTCCTTGTCTATATTCTTCAAGCAAAAAAACCATTGCATAGATTAAATAACAAAAACAGAAAATATTGTAGAACGATAAATATGTGATGAAATGTTAAAATTGAACAATTTATTTCTAAATATTTATTTATATATTCAATGTTATCACAAAAAAACTTTATACATATACTATACTATATATAATACATTTATAAATTTACAAAAATTTAAACCGCACCTATTTGAACTATCGGCAAAGCCAGCTGGAATGCATTTTCTATATACTTTGAACTGTTTTCGGCCTGCAAAGAAAAGTTAATAAAAATGTTATATTTTTATTCATATTTTTAAAATCTATATCTATATTTACATATGTTTGAAAAAAAATATTACATTTCAAAATGTATAGTAGGAGGTCTTGTGTTCGAGTCTCGGCTATATACCGTTTTTTTCTTCCACATGATTGCCATTCGCATAATGACGAAGAAAACATCGTTGGGGAAATTAAAGTTTTCAAGTCATGTGAAGTCCGCCAACCCGCACTTGGCCAGTGTGGTGGACTATGGCCTGATCCCCCTCTTATTGAAGGGAGGCCCGTGTCCAGCAATGGGACGTTAAAAAGGGCTGAATACTATATTCGGTTTTTATGCCAAAAAATCTCAGTAGTAGCCTGGAGTAGGACTGGTAGTGGATCTTATAGGCTATCCTCGTATCATGTTGCTGCCCCATCATAATGTTGAGATTGAAAGTGTATTTTTGTTTTTATTACGCACTTATGCAATATAAGAAACATCTAGTGCGTAGTTGGCTAGTCTTAAAGAAGCAGACGCTGTGACCGAATTCTGTCAGAGGATAATATATAAAAAAAATCTTATTAAAAATAAATAACAAAATCGAGTTTTATTATTGAAAATTAAAAACATTATATATATATATATATATATATATATATATATATATATATATATATGTATAATATATATATATATACACATTACAAAAATATCATAAAAAGTAATTTTTAAATTGAAATAAAAAAATGGCAAAGTTTAAGGTTTTTCGATCCAATGAAGATTTGAATAACGTCCTCTTGGCGAATTTTGCCACGGGGGCCAATCTTACTGAGACTAGCCAACTGGCAAAAGACATCAGACAACTTGGCCCAAGACTCAAACAAAGGACCTCTGAATCTATGCTACATGCTAGCCATTAATATCTAAACCAACGAGGCAATTATCAGAATATATGTATGTATGTACCTAACATGTATAAATTCATTTTATACCTAGGCAAAGCCAGAGCGAATAGCTTATAGCTAGTTATATAATAAAGTGTACATACCTCCAAAAACACATTAGTAACATAGTTATTTATCTGCTCTTCATTATCGGAAGGCTTCGCGCGCAACTTCTCTGAGAACTGCGTGGCGAGCTCGCTTATGTGCCTCGTCAACACTACTGTCATCCTGAAATTAAATAAAATATTTGAAATAAATAAATATAAATATGTTGGGATATTAAACACACAGCACCATCTAGTTCCATGGTAAGCTACGAGGCTTGTGTTATGGACACTAGATAGTTGATACACTACACATACATAACTTTAAATACATACATTTTATAAATATAAATACCAATGACTGAACCCGCGACCGCTGGCACAACAAGTGCCCTACTTGCCCTAGTTGCCCTACTTAGTCTAAACCGATCTAATAGTAACCTGTGTTATCCAAGGAGAGCGATAGTAAATCGACAGTTAAAAATAAATTTTAAAAATCTAAATGTGAAAGTGTATTTCATGATTTTTGAGGTTATACTCCTTTTGGCGCGTTTGGAAAAAATATGAGAGTAAAATTTTTACGATGCGCACGCACACCGATAGCCAAAAAGCGACATGATGAAGTTAGCTGAAAGCGACATGATGAGGTTAGCTGTATTCCTTTTACAAACAGAGAGTTGTGACATACGGGATGAAATCTTTAGCTATTTTTGTTCTGTTAAGCCAAAGAAGTATAACTTCTTACGTGCGCACATAAGTACACACACGTTTTTTTTATGGAGGTAATAGGATATTTAAACAATAACAACTACTTTATGACAACTTACTGAGTTAGTGCGTCTGCTTCATCTGCTGTAGATCTTCTATTCTTTACTAGAAGCATTTCCCCCGTTTTGTGGTAAAGCTCCACCGACAGAGCCGTGGTTTGAGCCAAACTGCTCACTGCCTTTTTATATATAGCTTTATCTGTTACATTTTCTTCTGTGTCCAACCATGTTACTATATCTGTGTACTGTCTGAAAAAAAGGACATAAACAATAGTCATTTTTATTTTATTGATAGAATTCTTTAATTTAAAACTATTATAATTAACGTTAAAAGTTGAGATAATATTGTCTTAGATTAACGCGAATATTTGATATTTTAAATAAAACAATCTTTTCGGATTTGTCTGTGACCATGATTGCTGTAAAGCATTCAAAACGTCGAGAACTAAAAATCAAAATTAATCCGCGAAAAAATCCGAAAAGAAGAACGAGAAAGAAGATTTTTATTTAAAATTTAAAGTTGAGTTTCAAAATAGTGGATATGAATCATTCATTTTACGTTAACATTGTAATGTTAAGAGCATTCTTATTTATCCCAAGAGACAGGATAGCATGCATTTTCATATTCTTACTAAATTGTCAATGATAATACAAATTATACTTGTCAATGAACTGAATTTGTCGTTTTTTTTTTACCTAGGATGAAGGTGATGAAACTATAAAAGGTTCCATTTTTGCTATTTTAATTTGAAATGAAATTAAACTGTAATCAATTAGACTTATTACAAGCAGTTTTGCATTATCAATATAATTTAAAGAGCGTCAGTGTAGTCTGTACATATGGGAGCTATCACCGGCTCAGATAGCAGTTCTGCTGAGAAGAGCCGTCGAAAAACTCATTATAATAAAAATAAATATAAATATGATAATAATAGAAATATAATGGCAATGTTACATATATGACTTACTTTATCAAAGTCTGGAATTGTAGTTTCAGTCCGATATCCCGTGTAGCTCGCTGCAACCTCTCCAGTAGAGCATCAGGTTTGGACATATCTTCTGGTAACTCCTCATCATTCTCTTCATCTTCATCATCTGGCATTTCACATAGCTCTGGAATATAAAAAATATGGTAAATTTAGAAATTATGAAAAATCAAATTATTTAATGGGATATCTTGTATAAGATTAGAAACACATTGATTGAAACTATAGCATAGGATATGAGCCCATCTATAGACAAAAAGCAAAAGATCAATTCTATGGGAACCATAACTTATGTAGAAACCCTTGTCAACAAACAGGTTCCGGCTAATCTCTAAAACGGCGGCCGAATTTGGCGATTCTTTTACTCCCAGATAACTGATGTTATAAGGTGTAACTTAAGGGCTACTTTTATTTTAGAAAAATAATTACGGTTCCGCGCAAATCTATTAAAACTTGTGTGTGTGAAATGTGAACAAAATCGTACCTAGAGACACCCGAGCGAACCGAGGATTTATCTTCGTTAAAGTAGTAGTACAGAAATAAAATTTGTTTTGAAATCAACTTAATTTCAATATCACAATGGCATATTGACTAACTGTTTTACATATTTGACCCGCAAATCACTAAATAATTTTCACTCAAATCTGCTGACCTATAAAAGTGTAAAGAAACAACAAACAAACTCAATCACCCACATAACTACTTTCATATCTTATTTACCTGCAACTTGTTGCAACGTCTCCTTTATATCTTGTCGCTTGTCAGGATCAGCCGAGCGTAGGCGCTCTTCTATTCTCATACTCACTTGTTTTGACAACATTTCCAAGGCCTCCAAATGGACCAAACCTGAAAATACAAAACAAAGGTATATACACATTATTAATTTAAATTAAAAAAAAGGCATTTTTTAAGAAAAGTAATCCTGTGACTCATTTGGTGAATTCTTGCTTAATAAAAATCTTACCTGGTCAATTTTCTGGTACCTAATATCCACTACACAATATATATATTTTTTAAGTTGTAGATAATGTTAGATTTTTTTTTAAAAGGAATAAACAAATTCAATTGTTAAAATTAACTATTGTATTCAGATCATCTCATTAATTATACAATATTTTGCCTGTAATGCTTAATTCTATGTTTATCGACTATACAAAATCCGCGGCTTCCCCGCGTTCAAACTTTTGATCGCTACCAAACATCACAGCATCACCTGCTCAGCTAATCTGAAGATTGCCTGAAAATCGCTTCAGCCGTTTGGAAGTCTATAGGGAATATACATACACACATCGATTTTTATAAATATAGAAGGTTCAACCTGCATACTGTTTATTAAGCTTAAATTTAATATTAATAAATGTATATAACAACCTTCAAAATCATCAAACAGTGTTTCATAATGAACTTCTTTGGCTTCTTTCTTGGCCTCTCTAATCATATCTTCCTCATCTGCCTTTGCTTTTGCCTCTCTCAAAACTTGGGATAAGACAGGTTTATCTCCAGCATCCAGACCTAACATGGCTCTCTTTTTGGCTAAGCCGGGATCGCCATCTTGTAAAACTTCCATAGTTTTCTTGCCTATAGTTTCTAAAGTGTCCAGTCCTCCTGCTATCACTTTAGTACCTCAAAATATTAAAATAGTTTATAAACAATTTGGTTTACAAACAATTTACTGTGTGTACGAGTGTGACTCAAAATAAATTTACACATACTGAGACTTTTATCTTCGACTAAAACAGTGAATATATTTACATAATAAAAAATAATAATAAAAATTACTTACTTGTACTTTCAACAAATTTAGTAACCCCAGAAAATAAGCTTCCAAACGGAAAGGCCCCATCATTTGCACTTTCTCCCTTTGCTTCTTGAGTCGTTTGCTCTTTATCTGGTGTAATTTGTTTAGATTCATTATTTTTGGCAGACATTCTGGCCAGTTCTTCGGGATCTGGAGCCCCAATCCCTGTTTCAAGTACTGTTGTGATGCCCTGTAGGTGCAAACAAATTGACTTATTAAAACATTATTATTTATTTTGTTCATTGCAATAAAGTATCACACTCATTTTATAACAGCAACATTTTTAAATAAAACTATCTTTACTGATTTTTTCATGGATGTATTTTGATTGCGGTTCAAAGCTAATGCTTTACAGTAATCGTGATCATGAGAGAAACTAATGTTAAAATTTCATCTATTGAACTAGAATTTAGTGTGTCACAGAAAGTTAATAACTTTAAATAATATAATTATTTAATATCTGATCATCATATACTTCTTATGGAATAGTGCAAATAGGTAGTAGTCATAACATTACTTACTTAATACTTTCTTAGATTTAGGGTGAATATGCTAGTTCGACGACCACCTCTACTTGCCGACCGTTTCTCATTAATTTAAGTAAAACAGCGAAATCGAAACGCGACAAGAGTTTGTTTTGTTTTTGAACGAAAGTTCGATTTATGCACTCCCCCCGCACAACCTGTCGTTGGTCTACGTTAACTATATGACCTTCAGTGATTTTAAACACCAGAGACTGTGCGGACGTGCCATTTAACTAACACTAAAATTAGTAAGGACTGATTTTGTCAATCGTAAGTAGCATATGATTTAATTAAGACTAACACTTGGAAATTATGCTTGGGTATTCAGAATGCTTTTGTTTTTTACTATAAATCATATTTTCTCCATATTTACTTGTATTTTATTGAAATAATGGGTGGTCGTTAAACTAAATGACTAAAAAGACGATTTCTTTGGTTGACGACCACCTGGTCGGGAACTAACAGTTTTATTCTTATCTTGTTTTTACTTTTTTGTTCCATTTCATAGTGAAGAGTAATATACTTTTGTCCCTCTCGGTTCAATAATATATAGTGCATTTAGGGGTCAGATTACGACCAGCAAATTATGAGTAGGAATTTCAAAACGTATCATATTTCAATGGCGATAACACGATGGTCGAGAATAGACTACTTGACGACCATTGAATCAATTTCATACAAAAATCAGCTGAATTTGGTGGTCGTAAACTGACTTTATTACGACTGTGTGGCTAATTCATTTAAATATCTATATTTGTAGTGGTCGAAAACTAACTATTTCTCGCTCACAAATTAGCAAACATAAAAAGTGTGTTCGACAATCACTTTATTTCCGACCACATATATATGACGTATTTTAGTATCCCCGATTATACAAGTTAATTGAAAATTAACCAATTTTGTGTTGTTTTTTGCCTGTATTTAAATACATTTAATTTGGAATGCCTTTTAATAGCATCGCAGTACTGACGGTTATGGTGCTTGGTTTGCATTTGTTTTTTTTATTATTGCAGATGGCTCCACTAAATAACACTAAACAAAAAAAAGAAAAACGAAAAATTGGTTTGTAAAATGCACACGCTATACTAACAAATTATTTTATTTATCTTCTTTTTATTTGTTAAATCTGATTGGTAATAAATAACATTTACAGGTGGGGACATCAAGAAAAATAACAAATAGACGACTTTTTACATATAGTGAAGACAGTTTAAAGAAAGCTCTTGAAGAAATAAAAAACAAAACCATGGGTATTAGGGAAGCCTGTCGGATATATGGCGTACCAAAAACAACAGTACATGATCGTATTTCAGGCAAAGTTGCCAATAATAAGAAACCAAAAGTTGGCCCTGACCCTATTTTAGGTCGTGAGGGAGAAGAAAAATTAAAAACTTGGGTACTGGACATGGCTAAATGTGGCTTTCCAATAAATAAAAAAGAGTTACTCGAAAGCGTTGCTAATATAGTACGAGATACGAACATTAAAAATCCATTCAAGGATGGTGTTCCTGGAGACACATGGTATCAAGCTTTTTTAAGACGTCATCCCGATGTAAATGTTAGAGAGCCGGAGGGAATAAATAATGCACGAGCAGCAGTAACGGAGAATCGCGTCAGGTTCTGGTTTAAAGACCTAAAAGAATATATGAAATCCATTGACGCGCTAGATGTATTTGATAATCCTACAAGGATATTTAATGGAGACGAGACGGGGTTTTCACTTTGCCCAAAAAGTGGGAAAGTTTTAGGACCAAGAGGCTATAAGAACCTGTACATAATTAAGAAAACCAATGATAAAGAGAACATCAGCGTCTTGATTGTATTTTCGGCAGATGGTAAAATATGTCCACCTTTGGTCATATTCCCCTATGTCAGACCGCCTAAGACCCTCATTGAAAGTATGCCTCCGACATGGATTCTTGGAAGATCTGAAAGTGGATGGATGAAAAGTGATGTGTTTTTTGAATACATTAGTAATAGTTTTCATACTTGGCTGATTAAGAATGAAATAAAAAAACCTGTGCTCCTTTTTGTTGATGGCCATAAGTCTCACATGACCTATGCTCTCAGCCAATTCTGTGAAACAAATGGGATAATCCTATATGCCTTACCACCAAATACAACCCACATGCTTCAACCGGCAGACGTGAGCGTCTTTAGACCACTGAAACAAGAGTGGAAAAAGACGGTTAAAAACTGGCAAGCTCGTGATGAAAATGTAAACCAGACGGTAACAAAAATAAATTTTTGCAAAATTCTTAACGAGACTCTGACTAATATCGACCTGAGAAATGCCATAGTAAATGGATTTCGCAAATGTGGGCTGTACCCATTAAACGAAGATGCTGTGGACTACACGAAATGCATTAAAGATATACAACAACGAAAAAGGGTTTCTAACACCAATCAAAAAACTATTTCTGGTAGAGACTACGATACAGCCACAAAAGTGATTACCCAAATTAAAGAAGAACTCTCCAGGCACAGCGTTGATACCAAAGTAGTTCTGGCTGAAATAGAAAAAGCGAAGATGAAATATATTTCGAATCGCCGTTCCAAATCGAAGACACCACGAACTTCTGCAACATCAAATGTAAGCACAAGTATATTGGTTGAAGATCTACTACCAATGTCGGCCTCCTCTCCCAAACAGAATATACAGAACGCCGAATTAAGAACTGACGCATGTCTATATACAGAGGAAGAAGATTCTGGAGTCATGAATTTCCTTGATCCGGGATCATTTATATCACTTAATAATATATCTATTTTGCCAATAGGTGAAGTTGAGATCTCCCAAGATAACTCAATGCTTGATAACTTTGCAAACAACCAATCTATCTCTTTAACTACAGTAGCAGAAATACACAACAAGAATGATTTTGCTGAAGCCGATCACCATCAACCTCCACCTAGGGATGTTTTAGCAGCAATTACAGATAATGTCTCTTTAAATCCAGCAGCAGATACCTACAATGTGAAAGATTTCGTGGAAGCAGAAAACCAACAACCTCCAGTAGTATCACTTACAGATAATATAACTTTTACCACTACAACATCTTTTGATGAGGTCTTTGAAAAACATCTCCGTTTTCCAGAATCTGAATCTTCATCAGCACCAAAAGCAAGAACTGGTCTTAAACTTCCGAGTGCGATTTCTTCAGGCGCCTGGAGAAAATTCTACGAAAACAAAGAAAAAGAAAAAGAAAATAAAATAATAACTAAGAAAATTAAACAAGTATTAAGAGCAGATGCAAAAGAAAAGAAAGCTAAGGAGAAAGATAGTAAAGTCAAAGAAAAGAAGAAAGTAACAGTCAGGAGCACTTCAAAGAAGATGCTAAAAAGATCGTGCCAAAATAAAGCAATAAAATGTAGCCAATGTTCTGATGATTTGATCAGCGACGTAGAAGATGACGCTGAAAAAAATATAGGTTGCGACCATTGTGCAAGGTGGTTTCACTTAAAATGCACAGTTTTAAAACAAACTCCGTACGTTGAAGCTGCCCAATCTGATTATACTTGTCCATTTTGTAAACACCAGTAAAAAATTGCTTAATTATTGCTGGTATTTTAATTTCTACTTTAATTTCTATGACTAAGTTCCTTTTTTCTGTGGCAATTCTATGGTCGAGAACCGACGGAAAAGGCGGTCGAAAACTGGCTGTAGGTGTCCGAGAACTGAGATTAATGCACTTTTCGATAAATCCTAGGTTTTTTAAATGAAAATGCCATAAAATATATTTAAAAAAATATTAACTGTATACTTTGATGTTTATTCTATAACAATCAATTATCAATATTAAAAAACAACACTTTTTAGTAAGAGAATGATTATTTTAAAGATTACAAGTCCACTAACTGGTCGTGAACTGGCATAATCACCCTATGCGAATATTTGATATTCTAAATAAAACTATTTTTTCAGATTATTTCGTGGATTTATTTTGATTTTCGGTTCCCGACGTTTCGAATGCTTTACAGCAATCATGGTCACAGGAGAGACTAAGGTTATAGAGGTCTCCAACATTTATTTAAAACTATTTACTTATTTTTTATTCAATTATAATTCAAGTAATTGAATAAAAAATAAAAGCTGGTAATCATTATTATTTTCATCAATATAAAACAAGTGTTGTATAGAAATATTGGAATAAAAATCTTGAATATAGAGAGATTCATTGACTAACTTCATACTGTAGTCTAAATCTGTCACATTGTGAAAAATTCATTCTCATCATTTTTGCATAATGTACTTAAAAAGGTATAACTTTAATAAAGGTGTTATTATACCTGTGACACTTGTGTAGTCAATGTACTTATTCCGGCTGTTGCAGAACTAAGCAAGGAATCCATGCCCCAACCCCATCCCCAGCCTTCTGTTTTAGTTGATGTTGTCTGACTTGTTTCTTTTGTTTGTTGAGATATTGGAGGGTCCTGGAAATTAAAGAACAATTTCTGCTAGATGCAAAGATAATAATAAGTTATTTATATAACTATAGAAATATTTATTAAACTAAAAGATTATAAGATTATAAACCATATAAACCTTAGCTGCTGATGTAATTGTGGTATTCTCATCTCCCCAGTCATCGAAATCATCCCATCCTGTGCTTTGAGGCTCATTTAATTTAGATGCAGTTTCCTGCTTTTTTTCATTTGTCGAGTTGTCATTTACTTTTTTAGTACTTTCATTCGAGCTGGTTGGTATCGATTCCTCTTCAATATCAAAATCGTCCCATCCATCTACAATGTCATTCTGGTAAAGAAATGAAAAAATAAAACAAAAATTTTAATCTAAAATAGAAAAAATTTAACACTCAAAAATATTAGGTTTGCATACAATAAATGTTCGTTTAGGTAATATTTTTCTTATATTTAAATTGAATCTCTATTTTACTTTGATCAATATAATCTCTATTTTGATTTTTAGTTTTATATTTTACTAATATATTTCTTCTTACCTGCTTCTTGGGTGCTGGCAATGTAGATGAAACTTTTTTGGTCTCCTGTTCAGATTCTAAGTTATCACTATAGTTTGAAGAAGATAGACGCTTTTTCCTTTCTTTTTTATTAGGACTATTACGGCCCTCGTCAGCACTTTCAAAGTCTTCACTATCACTCGAAGGCATTATTATAAATTTATTGAAAAAGTTGTGTTTATTACACCCTATGTATCTATATTGCAGTCAATGTCTACGTGTTTGACATAACGACGTTACGTTTTACGTGACATTGCGCAACGTCGTAAAAGTAAATAGGTACAATCTACATTGTTACTACAAAACAGTAAATAATTAAATAAAATTATCTTTTCGGATTATTTCCCGGATTTATTTTGATTTTTAGTTGGAACCAAAAATCAAATAAATCCGCAAAATAGTCCGAAAAGATAGTTTCATTTAAGATGTCAAATATTCGCGTAAATCTAAGAAAGTAAATATTTAGTTGATAATTTATTTAAACTATAAAATTCCCACTAAAAATAAATAGTAATTCGTAAAGAAATAAAATATAGTTCCATTTTTTAGAATTATTTCACATAATAAGCGTGAAATGGAACTTACTATTTAGTTAATAATTTAAATTTTAAACTTTGCAAATTGCAATGTCACTTTTATAAAAATAATAGGAGATAGAATTTTTAATGTTTTATTTTAATTTTTTTGTGAAACGTTATTTCGAAATTAATATATTATTTTAGTAATATAACTTTTTTATTTTACGTAAGTAATTAGTATAAACAATAAATACATACAACGGCCTGCTTTTATTTGGTAAGTAGGTAATAATAATATAATTACTACTGCAATCACCATCGACTTTTATGACTAAGCGCCTAATGGCTTTATTTTTATCATTTATTTTCAACTTATATTCATGTCATTAAGCTAAAACTTTCTTTCTTAATAATAATAATTAAGGATAATTTATAACAAGACTTTCGGTCTGTTCACAATAAAATGTTCTGTGAAATAATTGAAAAGGAAATTAAATTTTAAATAGAAATACGAAATCTTAATTAATAATTTCAACAGTTCATTAAAAACGTGTAGGTACAGTGCTTTAAACTTGCGTACCTAGCACAGGTTTCATAATAAAGTGTGATATTAAAATTAATGACTTACGCATATAGAACGTAGCTATTTATTTAAACACCACTTAGTTAACTGTTTTGGTAATAAAATATATAGATTATAGGGTATCTGCCATTCGTTTTAATTTAATAATTATTTTATGTGACTAGCATTTATATATACACTAGCGATTTACCCTCGCTTCGCTCGGGTTCGCCTCTAGAAAAACAAAAACAAATTATCCCTCGGGAACCGTATATTTTTCCGGGATAAAAAGTAGCCTATGTGTTATTCCAGACTAATCTATCTGTGTTAAATTTCATCCAGATTCGTTCAGCCGTTCTGGCGTAAAAGAGTAATAAACATCCATACATACTCACAAACTTTCACATTTATAATATTTGTACAGAAATATTTATACAGATTACTTAAAAGATCAGCTTCAGCGCTTATAAAACATTACTTCTTATTGCATTTGACACGTAAGTTATTGACAGTAGATTTAGTAAATGCACAATGATGTAGGTAAGAAAGCTTCTGTTACTGTTACTTTTTTGGTTAACTCTTATAGAGCAAGATTCAAGGGCCACCAGACGTCACGTATTTTCTGACGAACGAAATGTGGACGATTGGGTAGTGTTAGTATGTACTAAGATCGCATGCCTACCTGCTAGCTTGTTTAGACGGCCAATTTCCAGGTATCAGGTAATCAAGGTACCTCAAAACATTACTTACCTCACGTACATTCTCCAAACTGATTTTCATGTTTATCGTTAAAAATAAGTCACCAATACTCCCAGACACATGCCGTCGGCCGTATTGCTTTGCAGACGCTTTAAGGGTCCCAAAATAATTATTTAAATTTACGTAAATTTTGATTCTCCATTTTTATATAACAGACAACTATTTTAAAACCTTTTACAAGAAGACAGACCGATCCAAGGGGCCAATCATCCCCTAAATTCAATATTCCTACCCACAGAGGCATTAAAATTAGCATCATCAGTCAATCAAGTCACAAGTCAATCAGCAACATAGCATGCTGAATTTTGTATGGGTCCAGCAGATATTTCGTCTGGCATACCGCGCATCACCTAAATGTAGTCAGTTAAATAAGAACTAGACAGTCTGTCTAATATGCACATGGAGAAAAAAAAATAAGCCAGATGCGAATCGAAATCGCGTACCTACCAGGCGTTCCGTAGAAATATCGACAACACGATTACAACATAATAGGTGTCGATCTATAGGGAAAAACATTATAACTCATTTTTCGTAGCCTTACAGAAGATCGCGTCAAAGATTAATGTTCATAAGTACGCCATCCAACCTTGAAAAGCGTCAACAAGGGTACTGTGATGTACAATAACTTTTCACTACATAAACTGTTTAAAATAAAGTTTGATTTATAAATTAACTAATTATAAGTCTGACATATAGTATGTCTATGTACTATACATCAGAAATAATAGTTTTTGCTACTTGTAATTATCAAATTAATCACTCACAAAAAAGCCTATAATCTATACTAATATTATAAAGTGGTGGAGGAATTTTGTGAATTTGTGAGTTTGTGACGTTGTAGGGGATAATCTCTGTATCTATTGAACCGATTTAGATGAAATTTTGGTAAGAAAATAGTTTGGAACCCTGGAAAGGACATAGGATACTTTTCATCCCGGAAATCATCCCTTAAGGGGGTGAAAATGGTTATGAAAGCTTGTATTGGGAAGCAAGCGTAAAATAATCAGGTAAACAAAACAAAACAGCCTTTTATAAAATAATTATTTATTAAAATATTTAAGAACAAAAATGGTGTTACTTGGTTTACGATAATGGCTAATTTCATACGAAATAAGTATTTACTAAAAACAAGAAGGTATCTTGCTAGCGACTCACCGTCGTTTCGCTCGGGTTCGTCTTAATAGTCTAGGTACGTGTAATTTTCTTTTGCGAAACCCTAATTCTTGTTCTTAAATAAAAGTAGCCTAAGTTACTCCTTATAACATCAGCTATTTACCAGTAAAAGTCTTGTCAAAATCAGTCTAGTTTCGTATTTATCTATATAATTAGCCGGAACAAACAGACACACAGATGGACAAAAATTTTAAAATTATGTTTGTAAAATTATGTTATGTATGTATATAATTTCATATGAATTTAGTAAAAGCTGTTATTTTGACATTTGAAACAATTCAATTTTATTTATCTGTATAGATAATTATTTATTATTATATGTATTAATATTTTGTAGACACTGAATTACAATTTTATTCTATTTATAAATAAAATCGTAAGGTGATTGAATGTTTTAAGGTGTCAGGTTGAGTAAAAAAAGTATTTTTATTTATCTAATAACAAATTTCTGTTCTTCCGCGTAGGCATTTATTTTGCATTAAAAAATAGGAACAAATGACTATTGAAAACTATAATGGTTAAAAGTTAAAATCCTTTAGGCCAATCTGATTCTCATTTTTAATTTATTCTAACGCTTCGTGTCCTTCCCAGGGTCTCAAACTATCTTCTTACCTTTCATCTAAATCGATTCAGTAGATCCCGAGATTACCCCCTACAACGTCACAAACTCACAATTTACAAACTTTATATAGGTATAGATTTGCAAAAACAATAGATTTCTTAGAAATTTAATTTAAGTTAATGTTTAAGAATAAGGTCAATTTCTTATTAGTGGTTAGTATAACACTAAGTTAGTTTTGAGACAACTTTATTATAAATAAAGCTTTTAATAGGTAAACAAGTACCTAAATAATATCATTCGAATGGATAAAATAGAGCTCTGAAAGCTTAATTTATTCCATTATATCCTAACGTCATCTAATCCGGGCCGTAATAGTAACAGATTGAATGTATGCAAATGCAAATTGACTTCACAAACCCAGCGACGACGGCTCTAAAGTATCTCGATCTAATATAGTCGGTTAGGTAGGTAATGTATGTATGTAAGTGTACATACGCTGTGGAATGCGCGCCATACACATGCAGGTATATGTAGACACATAACGAGGAATCGTAAATAGATTGAATGGATATGTATCTACGTGCTTTTTGCTTGTACGTAAGTTTATTTTGCAGTATTGCTGCCTACAGAGCACAATCAGTAGGTAATAGATCATTGGGTTGTATGCCTGGGTATCGCATGTAATGTAAACATTGTGGTCAGAAGGAATGCATTTAGACAGTAGGTGCTCGAGGATATTATCATGAGCAGTGATAACGTGGCGGTGAGTCCGCGCGCTTCAGTCTGCGACGCGGGTTCGCGTGGAGCGGTCGTGTGTTTCGTTTGTGTCGGTAGAGTGACGTGCGGAACTCTGTGTTCGCGCTCGCGTACGCGCCGCATTCCATCGTGGGGGCCCTTCGCCGCCATTGGCCGATCCCGCGTGACGTCACTCATCGTAATGAGGTATTCAACATGGCCGTGTAGCTAGTTCGCGAGTGTGCTTCGTTATTCGTTTGAATGGATTTAATCAGTGAAATATGCCAAGGAGACGAAACGGTGAGATACCCTTGCCCGACGGATGGGATTATGCGAGGGACTTCGATGGAAAACTGTATTTCATCGACCACAACAGTAGAAAAACGACGTGGATCGACCCGCGAGACAGGTAAGTTTTCCGAAGAGAAGTGTTAACCCGTAAGAGCCCCATGTCAAAACTTCACATTCCAATGTGATTTTTAGTGTTTTCTGATTGAATTTATGAACTGTGGGTAGAGTGATGGGAAGTGCATGTATGAATCTGCAATATGGGTGTATTGCAAAAAGTAAACACATTTTTAAAATAGAATAAATCGTGAAAAACAAACTGTTCTCGCCGCGACGCTGTCGCCGTCTATCGAGAAATATGCGAAAGTCCCTCGATTTCACACGACATTCCACAATTGACTAACAACAAATGACCTAAACACAAATTATGGTTATCATTTTGTTATCCTATGGAATGCGAGTTGTAGTCGACGTCTCGTTTCGGTAACGATTTGAATTATTTTGTGAGCGACTATAGAAAACGGCTAATGAGGCCATAGAACTGGTTCATAGCAATGTTAGACTGAACTGGCGCAGAAATAATTCGATGAAGCGCTCGTATCGGGCATGAATGTGGGCCTGTTGTCTCGATGGTGCGCTCGGCTGTTTCGTAAGGTGCGCGTGTGTACGTAGAGTGCGATGCGTGGAGAGCGCGGTGGGAGACGGAATGCAATGCATAGGCAAGTTGTGCGGTGTGAATGACAGGCCGTAGAATGCGGCCCGGGCCTGCGGCGATGGTCGCGCCTTTCTAAAGCGGCGCACGGCCCTCCCCCCGCGCACCCAGTCACCGCTCTACCATCACACCACCTCATCCAACCGCAGGTGCTCCACAACACATCCCTATTAAATACCGATCATGTCTAGCCGTATCTATTTACCATAGTTAAAGTGCCACCTGCAGCATTGTCTTTAAAAAGTCGACCTTAAAATTCCACCTGCACATCAAACTTTAACGTCACCACCGTTAAAATGTATTGATGAATTGGTAGTAAAAGAAAACCATAATGAAAAAATAAATTACCGATATATGTTTGTCATGAGGTTAAACACTAACAGTCATTACGGTATATTGTAGTTGTTCTTCTGCTATAAGCTAAATAAAAACGAGACATACGATGCTTAAGACATGACCATAAAATGAAATTAAGGTCAAAATATGTTCCATACGTTACTTAGGTTGTGTAGTTTCCGTTTGGATAATAACTTACAACATCATATGAAATGCATCAAAAATATGATGATGTTCTCCTAGCCGATTCCGGCCACGGCGGCCAATCACAATGAGATTAGCCAACTGCGCAGGAGATATTATAGTGCTCAGGTGTACGCGCAGACACAAGTGCACTCTCTATTCCTATCACTCTCATACTCCGGTGGGACGACCACTCGACACGACCGGTGAGAGTTAAGGCGCAGGACCGACGGCTTTACGTGCTCTCCGAGGCACGGGGGTGAAACACCGCCAACTTCCCAACTCCGGGCTGTTACTGAGACTTACTATACAGGAAGACTCAATAACTGAACTTGGCCCGACCCGGGACTCGAACCCAGGACCTCCGGGTGTGCAGCCGTACATGCTAGCCACTACACCACCGAGGCAGTTAGTCAAAAATATACTATCTAATCCAATCTATACATATATAATAAAATTCTAAGCCGAATCTGTACATAAAATATTTTTTGGAAAGTTTTATTGAAATAGACATTATTTTCGATACAGAGGCCGAATCAAAGTTTTTAGAATTTTTGTCTGTCTGTCTGTCTGTCTGTCTGTCTGTCTGTTACCGCATCACAGAAAACCACTGGAGGGATTTTGATGAAATTTGGTATGGTGATAGCTGGTTATCCGGGTCAACATATAGAATACTTTTTACCGCGGGAAAATATCTCATTTCTGAGAAAAATACAAAAACTGCAATGTTAAACATATTATATAATATGTAAAACCATAGTACCACCGTATGTAAAACCTAAGAATTTGGTTTTTAGTCATCTGAACGCCGGCTGAGCCGCGGGCAATGCTAGTATATTATGTAATATGTTTAACTTAAAATATTTTAATTTAACGCGCTCATGAGTGTAATACATGTCTGAGTATGATTTTACGACTTCAGATTAAATTGATTAATCCTAAGAAGAAACATTCAGGAGATCTGGTTTCAGTACGTTGACGCCATAATAAAATTGACCGCTGATACATGACACATAAAACGTAAGATTCGTATTAATCTAAAGTACACTGGAATGAACGAACACTTAATCTTATTTTTTTTGTACCGAATTAGAGTGGATGAGAATTCAAAATGATACATATGTTAAAAACTTTGAAATAAGTTTACATTTATGGTATTCTATTACCAACTTACTAATATCTTCTGCAAAATGCACACAGCTAAACCGAGCTACTAAGCCAATTTATCAATGCTAAAAATAACCCGCCATGTCTCCAGCGCATTTGATGATATTAACCTTTTAACAGAACTTAAACGAGAAAATGCTTATTAAGAAAGAGTGCCAGACCCACAAGTGATTATAACTAGAACCCCTATACTAATTTGTATCGTTAGCGTCTATCATAGTATTTACAGTGTCATTTAAATATAACGCTATGTTTAAAATAAATCCAATAGACATATAAATAAGATGTTACGTGTGTATAGGGATTTTGCGGTTTTAGTGTATATTATAAACAACGCAAGTATGGGTTTGCGAGAGACGAGCGTATTTCAAAAACGTTAGCATTCGGCATTTACGCATTTAAATTGAGGAAAAACTGTTCATTGTCTTGTTAAGCTAGGAAACGGGGAAGACAATGATAGACGATTTACCCAATGGGAATTTATACGTGATGTTTGCTGCCTATTACTTTAATTATATCACTCGAGTACATTTTCACTCAGTACTTTGTTCAACTTGCATGCCAGCGCTGCGTTGATGCATAATTCTATGGTACGAGTGAAAATCACTTTGAATACCTATGCGTATTCCTTTAGGTACATGAGAATCGCGACGATACCTAACAACGGTGGAATGTTTCAATACAAATTTGCATGTTCATGAGCCATAAGATTTGCTTATTCAATATTTATTACAAGTCCACTTGTGTTTTAATTCGATGAAACAATGTTTATTATGTATGTACCATTATGCTTCAAATTCGCAAGCAGTCTCTGGGCTGATTCATATTTTATAAGTTATATTGGCTGTAATGTAGCTGTCTTTGAGATTGTGTAACCCAAGTATGTGTAAAACATCTTGTGGGTACTTCCCACGCACTACGCACGCCTTCAACCGTAACGTTAAAGGGGCTGGGCATTTTACTGCGTTTCTTGACTGTAATCGAATGGGAGTCCGATCGCTTTATAATTGAACATCCTCACAATTTTATTGTTCCATCAGTTCGTATTTAAGTAATTAAAATACCGATCCGCTAGACTAAAACTAAAATAGTTTTGTAGATTTTTACTCGGCATTTCAAAAGGTAACTGGAATATGCTAAATAAATAATTGATCTGCAAGGCGCGGCGAGCGAACGCCGAGTAACGCGTACAACAATGTTTACTTTACGCATACCTCTCAGATAAAGATGTCCTGGGTTTTTTATTCAAACGCTCATCGGATTTATTTTGATTTTTATTTCAATGTGAGTACACAAATCGAGGTTTAATCTGCAACTATACATACCAACCTTGAATTGTCAAAGAATGAAAAATGTTAGGTCATAATTTTAATATCTTAGATGGCCATATGCTATTTAAACATATTGCTGTCTGTAGTGGAACAATTTTTAAAAAGTATATTTAATTTTACTACAGTAAATTAAAACGAATGAGTTTTTCAATGGGCGTAAAAATTTCTCACAATTATTTCAAATTTATCTATGCAATTAGGTGTACGATAAAAGTAATGCTACTCCTATTTATAATCTAAAATAACATTCTTCTCTTATCTTTTCGTCGTCACACTGCTTGTTTTTTATTTACTTGTTGTACATTTAATTTTATTAATGTAATAGCTTATATAAAGTGTGAGTTTTAAAATAAATAAAACTTAACGGAATAAAACACAGAATAATGACGTCAGATTTTTAAGAATAGAAATTTTGCATTTTTGACCATCATATTTTACCAAAACAAGAAGCTATGATAAATCTCGGCGCTATTAAGGTCATAAAATTTATTTACTTAATTTGCATAAGCTTTTAATTGTACAGCCGACCAATCTTGGCTTGGAAGAATGTTAGCCCGTTTCTTCACTTTTGGACGTTTGATCCTCCATAAGAGTGAACTTTAGCTGAATAGATTTAAAGTTACAATTTCGACGAGGCACAGTAAGGAGGTCTAATAAAAATTAAACTAATTTGTGCAGTCGTGTCGAAAACGTTATTTCTGATTGGAAAGCAATTAACGAGGTACTTAATTAGGTAAATGTCTAGTAGTTTGAATACAACATGGATATTAAATATTGTATGGAAAGATGAGTCCGACTCGTTTTTTACTTATGTCATGTTATGTAATAAAGAATTACTAATAGATGTAACTGTCACATTTAAATATTTATTAAGGCTTATTTCGGAATAATTAGGGAAAATTATACATGATTGATGAAATCTAACAAACTGTTTTAACGGGCCAATTTTTGTAAGTTTAGTTCTTTTTTAAACAAGAACAAAATAAATTATATACAATATAACTGTACATACAATCACGTCAGGATGAACATGACCATACCATCATCTTTATCCCATTGCACTTGCGAACTGGCTTCTTTCGGTCTTACCGAATTAATATCTAACCCTTTTGCTCTTAATGCGCATTTTATTTGGAATTTCCATTGTTTGAAGTTTCTGACATCAAATTCCTCAATTTTCATAGAATTGGTAACCTCCATCATCAAGTAAGTAAACAATCAATGTTTTGTTCTTCCAATCAATAGGTCAATCATAATAATTCTGATACTTGATTTTGAATAAATCGTCGGCAAATACAAACGTGGGCGAAATATGCGACCATAACTTGGTAACATTCTAATGTCTACCTTGTTCCATAATTGTACTTTGGTATTTGAGATTGTAGTGTTAAA